TTTTTTTCAGTTGCCGCTGCCGATCACGATTTTTTTTTTTTTGCTTGGGGTGGCAGAAATGCTGGAGCCGGCCCTGAGTCACCCAGGGAGAAATGGGAACTAATTCACTCTTTGCTCACCATCAGCATTAATTTTTATAATTGCCTGGGGTTTTTTTGACCTTCTTGCTCCATTTCAGCTGAATCCTCCCTCCCCCTAGTTATATAGTATAGAAACTTTTTTTTTTAGGCATGCTGTGGGTCTGACCAATCACCTGGTTTAGGGATCTTTACCCTTGGGGCCAAACTGGCTGCAGCCTGGTAGGTTTTTTCACCTTCCTCAGAGCATCATGGAGACACAGTTAGGTTAAATAGGAATAGGACTTAGACATTTAATATTTGGAATTTGTGTAAATGTTAGTGCATCGCAACTTGTGGCCAGCATCCAGTGGTCCAAAGGGGCCTGCACCCAAAAATAAAAGAGACCTGGGATTTTGCTGGTGGACCTCGAGACTGTGGGGAAAAGGCACATCTGCAGACTGAGGTCCCTCTTTGGTATCTTCTGTTCCCTTCACACAGGGGAGGGTAAGAGGATTCAGCAGAGCAAGCTGAATTTGAGGGTAGACAGTGGAAAGTCTACCCTGAGTTATGGGCTATATGCTGAGAGCCCTATAAACCCCATAGTGGACCCACTTAAACGCCTGGTATGGTGCAGTGAAGATAACACTGGGGTGTGCCGTTGGATAAAGTTGTGGCCTGCTGCTTTAATCCATTCCCGTGTCTGTCCTTATTCACTTGCATATCCTGATCAAAGTGCTGTAACAAATTGGGATTGGTCATCCTGTTTCTTTATATTTTCTGCACTAGTAAATGAATACAAAATTGAACATGTAACACATATCAAAGTCTCTGTATGAACTGAACTCCCACTAGCTTAGTCAGGACAGCTCTTTGTATGCTCCTTGATTCCTTTACAAGGAAGGCTGACACACCACTTAAACCAGTGGTTCTCAACCAGGGATACACATACCTCTCGGGATACATAGAGGTCTTCCGGGGGTACATCAACTTATCTAGATATTTGCCTAGTTTTACAACAGGCTACATAAAAAGCACTAGCGAAGTCAGTACAAACTAAAATTTCATACAGACAATGACTTGTTTATACAGCTCTATATACTATATCAGTGTTTCTCAACCTGTGATTTATTTTATAATTATATGGTAACAATGAGAAGGCAATTTTTCAGTAATAGTGTGCTATGACTCTTTTGTATTTTTATGTCTGATTTTGTAAGCAAGTAGTTAAGTGAGGTAAAACTTGGAGTACGCAAGACACATCAGCCTCCTGAAAGGGGTACAATAGACTGAAAAGGCTGAGAACCACTGACAAACTACAGAAAAAACATCACTAGGTCATTAAGAGTCACTACACTGCAGAGACAAAGGAGGTTTGAAACACAGAAATTACTTTAGTGAAGAAACTGAAATTAAATTCCGTACTTGACTATCACTTCAAGGGAAACTTATGTTTCCAACATTAAAATACTAGTGTCATGGAAGGATTGTCTGAGCACAAAGATAGCTATGAATTAGCAAATCAGTGTTAAAACTCAGGCCTTGAGCTGAGCATAACCATACTCAAGAGATTAATCTTGCCCCATTTCTCCAAAATCCATGGTATTCAGTCAGATTTGCAACTGAGGATGCATTCCAGTGTTATTAAGTCTGTGTGTTTCAACTATACCTCAATCCATGTGCACTCTTTCCAGTGTTCTCTGCTGTTGCACCAGCAGCTGTGCAGTCAATTATCCAGACATCCTGACCAACTGGAATATGAGTTTTCAGCATTTTTGTGCCTGTTCTGAGGGGACAACAACAAAGGGACTCAAAGAATTTGACTCAGAATTATGTAAATAAAAATCAGGAGCAACATTCATGAAATGTATAGGTTTGTCTTGAATGCTTAGTACTGAACTTACAAGGCTGCAAGTTCGGCTGCATCTTATTTTGCTTTTTGTAGGCACTGTGTAGACATAAATAAGCTATCCTTGACAAACCTAGCTTTCATACCCCACAGAGAGGATTACCTCCAAACACTTGCCCAGAAATGGGAAGAGAAAGGAGATTGTGCAAAGACTGCAAATTAAAGTACATTTGATTGTGTTTGCCTGCCCATTTTATTTCAGCTTGTTGGGAACAATTCTACCGCTGTCTAAGGCTGGGCAAAAAATGAGTAACAAATCTGATAACTGTCAGTTCACTGATGACTGTAGTCTCAAATATATTAATTATTCAAACAAAAGCATTTGCTAAATAATTTCTGATAGTAATTCTTAGCGTGTCACTCAGTCACAAGGAGTTTCTTCCAAATGTTCAATACTGGGAATTTGACCATTTCCATTAGACACACAAGTTACCGTATTTGTTTCGGTTCCCTGATTGGATGAGCAAGACTGTTAATATTGGATTACCTGTGTAAAGAAGAATTTGAAATTCACCTATAAAAACTGCTTTAAAACTTGCTGTTTCCACAAACATTTTTGCCAGTAAACTAATTCACTAGAACATTAGTGAAACACAAATACAAGAAGGCATATGTAGCACTTGTTTCAAAAGTCAAACAAATATTCACAGACAGATGTTTGCAGGATTCACTTAATTCTCATGCTGCAGGCTTTACTAATCAAAGGAAATTATCATTTGTAATGGATAACTCTTCACTATGGCCTTGATGCATGTGAATAATCCCATTTATGTCAAGGTCTTGGTGCCCTATGATCCTGTTTGCCTTTTTCTGTATTTAATTCCAAGTCCTTCAGGGAGCAAATGATGCAGATACTCCATCTATAGCTATTTTCCTCCACCCTGTTTTGATCTTGTCTATTTAGATTGTTAGCTCTTTGAGGCAGGGATTGTCTCTTATTTGTTTTTACAGTGCCTAGCACAATGGAACACTGTTCTCAGTTAGCCTCTAGGCACTACCATAATAAAACAAAACAAAGAAGGTACCAAGTGGATTTCTTTCACAACAAGCTAGATTTTACCTACACTGGTATGAATTGGGAGTAACCGCACTGGCTTCACTAGAATGAACACTGCAACAACTCAAACTGGAACATATCTTTGTGTCACCTCTTTGCTTAATGACATATTTCCCAAGTGCTGATTTATGAAGAACTTCAGATTCAGTTCATTTTAAACCAGGTTAACTGAGCACTGAGCAAACAGTATTCTACTTCTGTCTTAGTATTTGGAACATATAAATCATAAATATTATAAATAATTGAGAATTAGCTTCTCAACCAGAGAAGTTCCTTTTACTGCTCTTTACTACACAGATGAAGTGTAAGTCCACAGAAACATATTGCACTTATCACACTGAAGACTGCTATAACTATATTAAAATACATCCCTAGTATTATTTCCATGTAAGCCATTCTGAGAGTTGCCACAGAGATGTTATGCAATTGTGAATGGGAGGGGAACTAGGGCTGGGTGAGAATATGCATCAGAAAACCTCTCTATTAAGATTATCATACATACAACTGAAATCTTTTGAGAACCCCAGTCTAGATATTTCAGCCACAAAGTCATTGTAAAATAAATAAATGAACAAATAAAACACTAGAACTGCAGTTCCAAATTATCAGTAGAATTAGGTTGGTTATACAAGTAAACTAAAAAGCTCAGCTCCTCATGATGTACACAGTATCAGAGTGGTAGCCGTGTTAGTCTGGATATGTAAAAAGCAACAGAGAGTCCTGTGGCACCTTTAAGATTAACAGATGTATTGGAGCATAAGCTTTCGTGGGTAAATGCCCACTTCGTCGGATGCATGTAATAGACATTTCCAGGGGTAAGAATCAATAGCCTCTCAGGCTGCTTCTAGAACTTAATTGATCTGATAATAAACTTCTTTCAAGTTTCCTGAATAAGGAGCATGGGAGGAACATGAAGAAAACATTTTGACCGTGGCAAGATACCGAAAAGGAGGTAAGAAAATGACTGAGAGAGCAAAGATCAGGAAGAATCTCCAAGTCTATTTATTTATTTATTTATTCTGAGCATCCAAAGATGTACTGGACACTTCACAAAATGAGTAAAGACAGAATCCTTCCAGTGACTTCAATGGGCAATGAATCAAACCTTAAGGGTCTAATCCCACCCTCAATTTTTAAACCAACATCAAAACTCCACTTTACTTCAATGGGAACAGGATCAGACTTCTAACTCTCCTATTTAATGGCTGTTCCAAAAGTGCTGCTATGTTTAATCAATAATTATATCCATTTAGTATAGGGGTCTACAGCTATGGGATTCTCAAATACGCAATGCAGAGCAACTTTATCAATGTCATCATTGCTTACTCTCCTAATTATACATTATGGCTTATAGCATGTTCTAAAATATATTGTGAGCCATTGTGATAGACAGTGAAAAAATACCATGTTCAATGGGGAATGTATTCCAGTGCTATCATTTATAAATGGTCAGAATCACCTGTATTATTACAATTTTCTGTTCACAGTGTGGTATTTCTTGAAAGCAAATGACTGGACATTGTTCCCTGAAATACTTGTCTTGTTGCTCAAAAACCCTGGAGCATCAGCTGTCTCATACTAAATCTCTTATAAGTAGCAAACAATGTTAAAACATCAAGTATCAGAGGGGTAGCCGTGTTAGTCTGAATCTGTAAAAAGCAACAGAGGGTCCTGTGGCACCTTTGAGACTAACAGAAGTATTGGGAG